TTTCAGTAAATATTAGCATACTTATTACTAGCTTCCTAAATTTCTTTCTTTTTTTTTTTTTTGAGATTTTATTATTTGACAAAGAGACACAGCGAGAGAGGGAACACAAGCAGGGGGAGCGGGAGAGGGAGAAGCAGGCTTCCTGCTGAGCAGGGAGCCTGATGCGGGGCTTGATCCCAGGACTCTGGGACCATGACCTGAGCCGAAGGCAGACACTCAACGACTGAGCCACCTAGGCGCCCAGCTTCCTAAATTTCTACTACCATTTTTTCTGATCATAAGATCAAATGCCCTATAGACTTCTAGAATATTAATAAAGTGTTGCTTAGAAAAAAATTAATCTTTAAGAAATCTGGTAAATATTTCAATATACATGATTGTGTACCCCATCCTTTTAAACATGTAGGCCATTAAAAGTGCACTATTAAATTAGAGATACCTTGATTTATTATGATGTTATGTGATACATGAAAACTTAATGATTCAACACCAGTTTGGTTTATTCTGGGGAAACATACAGAATTTGATGAAAAAATGGTACCATCTATAATCCTTTAATGTCATAAAAAGGAGTAATGAAAGTAGAATTTGCGACAGCTAAGGAATTTTGGAATTAATACATATTCAACTACTTTATTCTCTCTTTCTTCTGTATTACTCTTTGCAGAATGGCAATAAGTGACTTCACATGTCATCTAGAGTATTTGCTTTCATTTAATCACATTACTTGAAATAAGCTAGACATATAGTTTGTCTGTATACACTTCATGATGATTAATGACAGTATTAAGTTCAGATGCATTTGAGAAACAAATGCTGTGGCCATCAGAACTAATTTTATTTACAACCTTTATAATCTACCAGGTTCTCTCGATTTCTAAATACATCATAGAAGAAAAAAATCTATTGAACTTAATGTAATGAGTAATCACATTATTGTGACAATAATAAAATCTTGTTCACCAAAGAAAGATAAATTTAAATAGAAAATGTAACTTGAAAGTAGGCAAATCTGGATATTTGTAAGCCTGTATTGCTGCCTGATTTTCTTCTTGAAGATCTTCTGATGTGCCTTGATGTACCTCAGGAACTGAAAGAGGAAACCTGCCAAGAAGTTTCAAGTGGTTCTCTGGGACCACATACACAAGGTTCTTAAGAACCTTTGGAGAATGCTTATAGTTCATTCTGGCAGTTTGAAGTAATTTGTGCCAGCCACTGATTTTTGGACTAATTTTGCTCTCCAACA